ATAATGTTTCTATTAATATTTTATAACATGATTCTATTTTACCCAAAAGCAAGGAGAAATGTATGCCTCAAGCCACACCACACTGTTATTTCCAGAGAGAGGAGAAATAAAGAGAAAAGGAATTCCGACTAAGTTCTATATTTTTATCGGTAATGTTAGCCATAGAGAGGACATAATTAACACACAGTGGTAAACAGATCAATAAAACAGGGCTAAATGTTTATTTTCCTATGTAGTACAAGTAGCATTTCTATCTATATCTTCAAGTTTAAGAATCACCATGAAAAGATGAAAAGGAATATATATATATATTATATATATATATAATATATATATATAATATATAATATATATATATATATGTACATCTCACATAAATCTATATGTTCACCTATGTAGTCACAATTAATCATAATGTTTGGCATCTCTATTGCTTCTGTGTGCTTCCAAGTTAATCTCCAAGGAATCCACTAGTTCTAGTGGGAATTCAAATGTATCCACAGCCACATTTTTAAGCTGTAGATAATGGGATTCTGAGAGTCAAATGTGACCCTCGATGGTGGGGAGAGGTGGGGTAGTATAAGAGTTGCTGGTGTCTGATTCCAGAGCCTCTACAAATGGATATTCAAGTTATATATTTTCCTGTTGTTGAGACACATACTGAAGTGAGAAGGAAAATCTGTGGAAAAGGCTTGAACCATCCTCGTTTTTTCACTTTTTTCTCCTATTCTTTCCCTTCCCTTTCTTTTTCCTTTCCTAGTCCTCTCCCCACCATCTTCACTCTATCCATCCTTTACTTCTTCATCTCCCGCTCTACAATTTTTGCTGGTGGTGTGAAACCAGCCTTGTGCTCCAAGTCAGAAATTAATAGCTCTATTGATGCGAGGTAGGCCTTTTCCCATGAAAATTTGTTCATTCCCGCCCTATGTTATTTCCCTTTAATACAGATAAGGTCAGAAGTACCAATGCCAAGTTCTGTTTTCTCAAAACATTTTACTTTCATTTTGAATTCAATTTAAAAATTTTTATTTTTATAGATATAGCCCATATCTGACTTTTGTATACTTTGTTGCCCTCTGTATTATAGAATGAAAATTCATACGATTCAGTGGCTTAACATGTGTCCTCATCTCAAATCAGAGTTTCCATACAATGGTGACTTACAGCCTTCCTGTCATTGCTAAGCTGTGCTACCTATTGTAAGATCTTTATTGGAGATCTGAGTAACTACTCTGTTACTGACTGGAGTATGAGCACTTTGAAAGCACAGGCAGAGAACATACAAATGAAATTTGTTATTGAGAGAAGTCAAATTGAAGAATTACATCTATTAAGACAAATGACCTCACTAATGATAAACCTCAGAAGTACAGATTTATCAATAGCTTGTCTATGTGGGTCCAGGAGCAGTTTCCCAGGATGGAGAACACTGTGCCTTTTCTGTGGACAGTTTACACATGAAGAAATCAGAGCTCCCAAGAAGGAAAACTCAAGGGGTAAAAAACACATATCCAGATATGCTTCCTATGCTTATCAATCAAAATTTACGTCACTTCTCTGAGGCTGAGTGAATAAAGGGTTAGGGAGAGTACAGGGATATTTAGGGAAGACATTTTTTCACAGGAGCTTTAGTGAGTGCTAATCTACAGTACTAGAACAAATGGAATCCAGGTTCTGGATCTAGTTTTCCATATACAGAATATACTGCCTTGGATTTTACCTTTCAGTCTTGTCATCTCTAGAATTAGAGTCTGTAGATATGATGTTTGTTCTCTTTATTTTTAACATCACAAAATTACCACCATTTGCTGAACACCATCCTCATACTTTCCCTCACTCTGTAAAGATCTAGTGTGTTGATAACTTAAGAGATCAAATATTTTTAAATGTTCTAAAAATGAGGAAATTGCTTAACATTTTTTTCTTTAGATAAGTGAGACCCTGGAATGCGAGAAATCCACAGTGACGACATCTATAACCTTCAGCGCTCTGAAGGGTAAGAAACCAAGTAATATTAGAAACTTCCCTCTTTTCTCATCTGTCAGTGACATGGATACAGAAGTATAAGTTGATGATGTGTGGAGTCCCAATTATTAATCAGATTAAGCTAACAGACAATGAATAAACAAACAAATAAAATTTAAAAAAAACTATAACGAGTCAAGTGAGCAGTTAAAGATGTGAAATAATTTTATCAGCTATGAGACAATGCATATCCAGTGCTGGATTTACCTCGCTCCTGAAATGCTTTTAAAGTATTCTATGAACCATGATTTCAGCAGGGTTTGGTGTAATAAAAATGTTTGAATAAGCACAGAGTCCCACGATGATGAAACAGCCCCTTGTGATATTGGAAGTGATAATTGGGTAAATTGAATGTTCAGCTGAGAACACTGTTGGTCAAAGGTCCCTATTATCTGACATCTGTTTTCCATTAGCTGATCACATGGAGCACACTCACTGTATGATGAGACATTTGAGAGGCATTTTGCATAGGCCTCTAAGTAAAAGAAACCATTAAGAAACTAGTGCAATAAAAAAAATGTTAAAAAGTCTATTAGTGTTTACATTGATTTTAAAAGTTACATAAACTTCATATACTCATGTAAAAATATTGTATATGAAAAAGCTTCAAAATGATAACGGCCAAAGACAGTTTCAGGACGGTGGACAGAAACAGGGAAGGCAGGCAAGTATATAAAGGCTTCTGATAGCTTGCCAAATGTCGTATCTTTATTAACTCTGAACTTTGTCACACTGTTCATTATTTAAACACAAATTATCAAGCTTATAAATTAAGACAGACTTTAATCTTTTAGTAAATATATTATACATTACATAAATCTTATGGTAGAGACCATGTGATTTATAGCACAAGGGACAGTAATTATATACACAATCCTTCTATCATATTTTCTCTGCTTTGAATGAGACTGGAAAAAACATAAGAATGATTTGGATTTTTATCATGTGTATTTGGGCCTGCAAACTTTTTACAACTGTAGAAGGTCATGTTTTAAATCTGAAACAAGACTTTTTCTCACAAAGTTACTGATGCATATTGACATTTTATTTAGAAGGTCGAGGGTATTATTTGAGAAGTGAAATTCAAGGGAAGATGTCTCATTTGTGCAATTTTAAGTACAAATTATAAAAGACCTCAGCTTAATTCCACAAATGACTTCCCACCAGAGTTAAGGACCTTTGACTTAGTTATTAAATGTTTTGCTGGGGTTTTTCTGTTGGTTTATATAAAAATTGGGTGGTAAGAGTAGATATCTCAAATGCTACTTCCAGAAGTTTTAAAATTTGTCTTCATGATGTATTCCATTGCTAGGCACTTTTCATTTTCATATGACAGTGTTTATAAACATTTTATCTTTTAGCATCTTTGATTTAATTTAGGAAAATATTTCTTATGTGAGGTCTTTAACATTCTGTATTTCTCACTGGTGACTTTATATTTGCTGTCTTCTGGTCAAACTTAACCTCGCTCTATTCAAATTCACCTGGTTCCCTACCTGTCGTTTTCCATCATTGAGTGCCCAGGGGCCCCTCGCCTCAAAGTGAACCGAAGAACCTCTCTCACTTTTGGTTTCTCTTTTCATCAGCATATGTTAGCGACACATAGTAATTATGTTCAACTTTGAAAATGGGGACCTGAACATATCACACCTTTGTCAGTTTTGCTTCCTCTTTCTATTTCTGCCAATCTGGCCCCCACCCCACCATCTTCTTGTGATCTCCAGAGTCTACTTCTTTGTTTCCTATCACCTATTTTTTAAATTTTGCTACTTCAACTATTTACATTTTGGATTTCTCATATAATAGAAATGATGTGATATTTAAGCTTCTGTCTGATTTACTTCACTTAACGTATGATCTGAAGGTTCCTGCATTTTCCTATAAGCACCTCAAGTGTATCTCTTTTTTAACCTGTTGAATAGTATTCCACTGCATAGATATACTACATTTTCTTCATTCATTTATCTGTTTTAGGCCTCTTTGCCTCTTCCAAGATTTACTATTGAGGGTGGTGCAGCTAAAAGCATCCACTGAGTATTTTCTTTTTCCTCCAGTTAGGATTAACCTCTTTCTTTCTCCTTAAATTTGTATATTTTTAAAAAAATGGTTAAGAAAGCATTGTGCCTGTTTCATTAAACTAATTTTTTAGTTATTGAGAACAGTACCTGCACATCTTTTTATTCCCAAAGAGTTCCACTCAGTGTACGAAGAAATAACCATCAGAGTTTGTAAAGAAAAATAATGGATGCTTAATTAGAAGTACTGAATATTCAACTAAGACACACACTGATCATTTGAAATACTTAAGCATCTCTTCTATGTTAAAGAATTAAACTAATGCTATATGGTCAATGGATGGTTTGTAATGGTTACTATCATTCTTTTAACATAGATATGAATTTTTAAGCAAATGGAGGTCTCTGAAAAGTGAAAAAAAATCACAAAAGAGTGATTTAATTGTACCCACATATACTAATTCCACTTGTTTGATGTTGTGTTTTATTCATGTTTTTTTGTGGTACTGAGCATCAAACTTGGAGACTCTCAGATACAAGAAACTTTCTACCACTGAACTGGAACTCCCAGCCGCAGGACTGACTGTTGATATTGTTAATCTTGCCCTATTATTCTAGTCTGAAATTACACTACTCTCCAGAATAAATTTTAGTTGAGATTAACATGACTGACTTGTACTTACAAAACTAGAATATCTCCTATTCTATTTTTACCATCAAGATAGTATAATTTTTCACTTTTGATGAGTAATTTATAGATATAGATTATTTTTCAAGAATTCAATATTAAATCTACTCAATTTTCAAGTTTTATCTGTAATTAATTTGCATATTATATAAGAAAAACATGCTATTATGTACTTTTTAATTAAATTGGTTTATTTTATAAACATTTTCCTCAAATTTCTTTATTTCAAATTAATTTAAATGCAAAAACATTTAATATGTTAAAGAGCAAACAACAACAAAACAAATCAAGAAATCCAAACTTTGAATTGTACTTCCTCATATTTTTAATTTAGAATATAAAATAAGCGGAAAGAAACTAGCATTTTGACAATGATGTGCGTATTTCCCAGATAGAGACAAAAACTTAAGAGAATGTAAAGTGAAACAAAAGGAAATCCATCTCTTTCAGATAAAAATGTATTAACTAATCATGAATTAGGATCTTTTCTAGAATCAGACACCATAATGCATCAGGACAGAATTATGAATGTAGAATAAAACTACATAGCATATTGTCCTTGTTTGAATAAGTAGCTCTTGTCCTTTGATTACTTTTGAGCCTTTCTCTTAGGTCTGATGGCAAAACTCTAGTGACAGTTCACGCTATCCTTTAGGCCTTCTTTGGAAGAGATGATTTGTTAGATTTGCTGAAGTCTTTTTCTTTTCCTTCAGTACTGAGGATTAAACCCAGAGCATTCACACTGAGCTACACCCACATCCCTTTTTATTTTTCATTTGATAATGGGTCTCGCACAGCTGCTCATTTTCACAGACTGGGCTCAAACTTGTGATCCATCCTTCTGCCTTAGTATTCCAGGATGCTGGGATTACAAGCACGTGCCATTCCTCATAGCTGAAGTCTTCTGCTTTTTTAGCTTTACTCAGTCATTGTTATTGGCTTGCCTTTAAAATTAATCAAGGAAATGATGAAAAGTCTATTCAATAAATTTAAGGTGATGTTATCAGTTTACTAGTAAGAGTGCTAGTTAGACAGTTGACAAAGCTATTAATATAAAATAAAAACCATCTGAAAGCATTTTCGTGTTGGAAACAGTCATCAGTCCAAAGAAACCCTATTTTATCAAGGAACAGCAGCTGACAGTCTTATTGGGAAGCAAGTCAGATGACAAAATAAGCAAGCAGGTGATGATTATATTGCATGTAAATTCTCTTTTGTGACTCCATCAAGATCAGTCTTAAAAATAATACCACTTTCAAGATCAGGTTTTAACACAAAAAGAAATTAACAAAACAGCAGACCCAGTATCCAGCAGGTAATATAGAGTTGTGATTAGTAAGCCCTAAGGTAATTGTAACAAAATTTTTTAAATACATAAGACACTTCAGCAGAACATTAGAGATGCTAGCTGGTAGATGTTGTTAGTTGATCAATAGCAATTCAGAGGTCTGCAACCCCTGCATAAATATCTCAGAGGCGGAAAGCTATTGGGTAGGCAGCTCAGGGACCGGAAGTTCCTCGGTGAGTAGCTCAGAGGTCGGTAGCTCATAGGTCCATAATTCAGATATCGGTGATTTCTCATTAAGTAATTTTGGGGCTGATATCTGCTGATGGTGTAACGTGATGGTGAAAAGCCACTGTTAATAAAGCCAAGAGTTGGATAGCTTCTATATGCCAAACCACCAAGTCTGTGGTAGCGTAGTGGTCGGGGACTCTTGGATAAGTAGCCAAGTTGCCCAAAGTACTTGGAGCCATCGCGAAGGGTCTGGCAGGGTTTAGATGCACATGGAGTGGTGGTGTAGCAGTTAGATACATACCCCTTGTTTTGAGAGGAGGAGCAGCTGGGACTGGATCCGAGGTTGGTGGTTTTGCAGGCAGTAAAGGCTTGTCCGGATGATGGGGAGTTAGAGGACACACAGGAGTTCTGGGGATCACAGTTGGTAGCACATGTCTTGAGCTCACAGCTAGTAGAGGCACAGCTCTGCACATCACAGTAGGTTTCTTGACAAGAGTCCAGGAGCCAGAGATTTCCTTGGTAGCTACTGGGTAAGCAATATCCAATGGTAGAACTTACATCATTGGAGCAAAAAGCATTGGAAGGAATTACTGGGATGTAATAGTGAGTTCTATAGGATGTAGTGCTGCATATCTCAGGGTAGGTCAAAAGCGACATGGAGCCTGAGTACATGCTCAGATATGGTGCTATGCACATATGCTGTAGCTGAAGCCCGAGGATGCTTTATATCTTCCCTAGTGGTTGCGTGGAGCCTCTCCAGACTTCCTTCTCTCTGCCTGGGACAAAACACAGCAACCCCTCATTAGTGCATTGCTTAGACACATTTGATGATGTCTTCATGCTCATACAAAAATAAGTTTATTTTCATTCTTCAAAGTGTCTATCTGTAATTGTCACTTTGACCATCATCTAGCACTCATCAGCAGCAGACTGTAGCTTCGGTGAATAGTGATTTTAATGTAACCAGCAGTTAACGAGAGTTCATGTATTTGTGGGCTTCTGCAGCATGGTTATTAAAATGTTAATAAGGATTCAATAAAGTTAGTGACCTGTGTTTTATCTACATCTTTGACTACTGCAAAGCACCATGGGATTTGACCCTACATTCAGGAATCAGTTGGATTATCTGACCATCTCAATTTTCTTTCTCCAAGGAGAGGGTAAGGCACTGATGACAGAATCAGGTTTGCTAAATATGTGCTAGTCTCTTTCCTGTGCCAGGACATATACCAACGATAACTTATCATCTGACATATTTAGAGGACTACATGCTTATGACTCACAGCAACACCACTGAGACTTGGTAACCTGTACTAGGATCCCCATGGATCCCTGGTTGCTAAGCAACCAAGTCTTCTACAAAATTTCTTTCTCAAAGAGCTTCTATACTATGTAATATCACAGAAATAATAGTTTTTCAATATTGCATTTCCTTATTTGGGTAAGATTATATGCCATGTCCTCTACTGTCCTCGCCATAAAGTACAAATTCAGTCAGAAGCATAACATTTCCCCCCAAATAAGTTTTGCTTAGTCCTAATTTAATTTATTTTTCACATAGGTTTCATTTTATTCCTCCACTGAAGTTATTTTTGGCTTGTTATAACAGAAGATAATACCTATGTTTAACTTTTTCATTTGAATAACCTGTATATTTCTTATAGCTACTACAAACATTAAACAGCAGTTTCCACTCCTTGGAGTGAAGATTAAAAGAAAAAATAAGATTTTTAAATTAAACTCAGTAACTGACATTTGGTTCTTGAAACTATGAACTATGATTCATACCTGCAGCCTCCATTGTTTAGAAGAGTAACACATTGATTAACAGTGATGAGTTCAGATAGCAGACAGTACTTACTTCAGCTTTGCTAAGATGTAGGGATAGTTTTTTTTTTTTAATTTTGAAGATAGTAAAATACAACAAAATAAGATAGAACAAAGCCAATTGAGACAATGCAGTTAAACTGGTATAGAACTTCACAGCAGGATATCGGGATAACAGTAATAGGTACCACAGTACATCTTGTTATCTTCACAATAGTTGTCCATTGAAACAGGTACAGCAAAATCAAACCAAAAACAGAACACTATAAAACCTATCAAAACAGAATACTGAACAAAGCAAAACAATCAGAACAGAGCAAAAGAGTAAAAACAATATTGGACTTCAAAGAGAAGATAGAAGGAAATCCCTCATAGTTATGGATTAAGAACTGGTGGTCAACTTAATGCCAGCTGGATTGCATCAGCATGGCACTGAGCATAGATGCTCCACCTGAGGAAAGTTGCCAGCATAAATAGAGAGGTGGAGAAGGAGAAGGAAGGCGTTAATGTGTTATTGCGTTGAGGCGTTGTGGGTTCTCCTACGAGTTGCTGTTTGAGTCAGCAACTCAGTGGGTTCTCCTGGAAGAGCTTTGGCCTTCACATGGAGCATTGCTTCCTGGCTCTGGAGGGGAAGACGTGTACTGCTTGCTCTCCAGGATGAACTCGTCATGCTGGCTTCCTGGCATGTACCCGACTGTGCTTGTCGGAAGAGGAGCTCTAGGCCTCCGTGTCTCTGAGGATGGCTGTGGTGGCTTTCAGGACAGCCCTGGTCTTTGTTATGAGTGTGACTTCTCAACTCCAGCATAGAACCCTCATCCCACCAGCCCAGCTCCTTCAACCCGCTGGCATGGACTTTCTGGTTTCCTCTGCTGACCTTTGGGCCTTCCCGGCACAGATCTAAAAGAGACTGGCATGAGTCCTTCTTGTGGGCTCTGGACCTCCAGTTGGACTCATGGGAGGCACTGTCATGAGTTCTGGGTTTTCATCTGGGCTCATGTGGGACATTGCTGTGGGATTTAGTGACTAAATATTCTGTCTTTGGTGTGGCGGATAGATGTCCTGCATTTTCTTGTGTTAACTCCGGTGACCATTATAAAATAATATTTTAAACTCCATGTCCTGATTCTAATTGCTCTCTGTGTATAAGCCCTGACTACAACACCCATGTTGTTACATTGCATACAGTCATCCTCCCAAGACATGCTCAGACCTCTGGCCCCAGGTTAGCATAAGCCACCCAACAATACAAGCATTTAGTTGCTTTATGTGCCTCAATTGTTATCAATTTGCAAACATCCCGTTGCTAAGGGGAGCTGTGGTGTGGTGGTGGATGGTACACTGGAATCTCAGCCCGTGCACTACGCACCAGTAGGCTCACAGGAGACCTTGACTTGTTCCCTCCCTGACCGCCAAGCTACTGGCTTGAGCCATTTGAGCCACAACTACCTACCCGGAAGGAGGGCATGTTGCTTTCTTGCTCAGCCCCTCAAGTTCAACCTCAGGAGCTGTTGACTTGATCTCTCCTCGGGGTGCCCACTGCTTGCTCACGCTGCTGGGGATAGTTTTATAAAGACATTGTCCACTTAGGAGACAATTAAGATTCCTTTGATGCTCTATGCTTCCTTTAAGCCTGCAAACCGATCTAATCTTACAGATATTCTCCCAACATTTGCTGTTGTTGGTGTATCTTGCATGCATCATAATCGCATTCACCTTGGGAAACTGGTGCACCTATGCAGCACACCTTGATCCTCCTTTCTTCCATTTATCTGGCCCCACACTGTACTGTTCTCTCCCCCTTGCCAGCATCACCTTCCCATCTTCTCAGAGTCTACCCCAAACACTTTTTAACTGAGTTTTCTCGGTGCTTTTCTCTCACTCTACTTTTTTTAAGTACAGGACAAACAACTCTTAAGCTCATTTTATTGCCTTTTGGAATTTCCAGTGAAAAGGTTCAGGATTAGACAGCCATTTTTCATTAAGTTCTTTGTGCAGAAAATTCCAGTCCTGGAGTATTCAAGATTCAGGAGGTAGTTGATGACCGACTTTCCAGTAAATTATTGAGTCCTAGTGACGCATACAAAAACCCAGATGTTGAAAAATACTCTTTCTATGTATTTCTCTACTGTACATCTGTTGTCTCTAGTTATACATTTTAGGTTTCTTTGTACAATATTCAGGGAAAACAACAACAAAATGTGTAAGTTACTCAGCTGGAAAGACAGCATACTTTACTTCCATCTGAGTAGTAAGAAGGTATTTTAAGTTACTATGACTTACACAATCTAAGTCCAGTAAAATAATTTAGAATATCAAATTGCTTAAATAATAAAGCATCAGATTTTATAATAGAATGTATTTGATATGGCAACATTCTGAACAGTGAAACACTGAGATTTATAAATGTACGACTCATTAGATTTTTCCCACATTTTTGCTATTCGTTGTTGTTTAGTTCATGTTTGTGATTCATAATAAATATAATCATCCTTATGAATTACTTCATCGTGTCATATTTTGATCATGTGTGAAAGACTTCTACAATGAAAGCTACAGTATTCTGTAGGATACTAGAAAATAGGAAGATATCTTTTATCCCTGGATAGGCAAAATCAAAGTTGTCAAAGTGGCTATATTACTTACACACACACACACATATATACATGAAATTTTACTTATATATGTATATATTAGTATATGTAATTATTACTTATATATCACATATACATATATTATATTTCCAACTGACAGTGTTTTCCAACAGTGTTCTTCAAAGAACTAGAAAAAAAACAATAGAAAAAGAGGAATCACTTTTTAAATGTTTTTACTCCCTCAGGATATCACATTCCTATGTTATCACTTCCCACCTCCACTAGCTCCCCTATTTTCAGTACATAATGCCCATCCAAGAGCTTTTGTTATTTTAATCTCCATCTTTGGAAGAAATGAAAAAGATAACAGTCACATGGCAATTATTAAGTTCATAAGGAGGCCGGGCTTTAACAGATAGTTGGGACCTCTGAAAGCTTTGGACAATCATACACAACACATTGTTTTTACTCTGTAAATGTATCTTTTCTTCTATATTAATTCCTGTATTTTTAGTATTTGCTATACTCAGAAGCAATTCATGCTACTCAATCCACAGAACCAAAATACCCACTTCAAACACTGGGGACCTGTGAAAATATTATCTGGAGTATCAAAAGAGACTTTAAAATGAGTTTAAAGATGGTGGATTATTTGAATGTACCTGTTGTTAATGAATAAAAGTAAGACAGTAGAATGGAAAGGAGAAAGAAACCTGACAACAAAAACAAAGTTTGGTGTGAAGCTAAGGAATATCAACCACTTTACATAGCCAGAAGAAGCAGGGACATTCTTTCCCCTGGAAATCTCTTAGGGAATCAGCACTGTTGACTCCTTAATTTTAGATCAGTGAAACTGACTTTGGACTCCTGGATTCCAGAACTTCTAGAGAATAAATCTCTATTTTATACTATCAAGTTTATGTTAATTTGTTACTGCACTTAGAGGACACAAACACATTTTGTCAAGAAAACATCAGTAAATGTAATAGTCTTCATTCAGTTTGAAGAGTTTGTGCCTACATTCAGGGCAAGTTTAAGATTCAGAAGATAAGCTTTCTGGTCATCAGATAATTCAAAGAAATATTTGCATCATCTAAAGAATAAGAAGCAAACTCCCTTTAATGAGTCTGCCAGCTCCTTTCAACTCATTAAAAAGGAATTATGGAGCTCTTTCCCAATTTTATCCAAAGGTTAAAAATCCTTTAGGGTAAGCACAGAAGATTAAAGAATGCTAAAGTTACCAGTAAGTGGTCC